GAGGCATAACCACAAAAATAGGTTCAGAGGTCACATGGACTTCTATGGATTTTTGGGTATAGAACCAATTGAAGCGTAGAATCTTGATATAAATAAATGCAATCATTGATAAAGATAAATAGGTGATCTATTATGTTTTCACATCATTGTTCGTGGTATTAATTTCATTGGCTATGGAATGTGTTGATTTATTATGATTCTGTCATTCATGAAACTTTACCTTGTGTCACATAAATCATTCTTCATACTCTAAGATGATAAATGAATTTGACGAATATCATATGAAATAGACATAGATAATGATATATAACTATATTTATGACATCTAAGTATCATTAAATGATGACATGCATTATCCTATCTAAGAGAAAATGTGTATGATAAATAAAAATGAATGATGAAAAAAAAATTGCTATAAAAATGATCTACAATTAGATAGCTCTAAAACTTATCCTTTAGGAGGATAAGTTGATGAGATAGCCTCAATTCATTGGAAGAGAAATATGCCACAAATTTTAGAGAAATGCATACTATAATGGATGATGAATCAATCTATGGGCATATGATATTAAATAAGATGGTTAATTCACCAATCAAAAATCACCAATTAGAAAATCATGGCAATTATGAAGAAGGCCAACCATATTCCTTCTATTATGAAATCTTGAAATAAATGATAAATATATTGATCTTTTAGTGGGGTGTAGGCACAACATGAGATGGGTGAATTGGAGTTGTTGCCATGCTTGCAAATGACTATTATAAATCTTATAACTATGACACCACACGAGTAATGGTGTAATTTATATGAAAATGCATTTATGATGAGCATATAGACATTCTTTATAATTACTTCAAAGTATCTCTCTGATGAACAGTGGTGTGAATAAGTCGAGTCGAGCTCGAGCCATCTTCGGCTTGAGCTTGTTTGATTAATTAATCGAGCTGGAGCTGGAGCTCAAGTTTAAGTATGTGAGTTCGAGCCAGCACAAGTGCCAACTTGTTTATTATAAGATAGATAACATAAAGTCTTATGATGACATTCTACTTTTTTTTTGGATAAATAACATTATAACACAAATAATGTATAATTAATAAACTTTACCTCGAAATAAAAATATTAAATTTTTGTGATGTTGCTGACTTGCATTATTCCCTTTTCTAAATGACCATTTAATATTAAATAAAGGGGCATTTGCATAATACCACCCACTTCTTATGTATTTACATATCAGACACCTAAATTTACTTTATAATTATAACACCCAAATCTTCCATATTATATACAAAATAATATCTTTCTAACTTTATCAAGTGAAATACATATTTTAATGCACACATAACGTTGTTTGCAGGGTGTAAACGAGTCAGAGTCAAGCTCTAGCCACCCTCGGCTTGAGCCCGAGCTCGAGTTTGATGAGCTTAATTTAGTTCGAGCTGGAGCTTAATTTTATGAGAATGAGTTGGCTCATAAGCTTGCTTGATCATTGTGAAAAAGAGAAAAAAATATTAATTTAAGTTAGTGTTATATTAAGATAATAAATAACAAATTTAATTATATGATAAATGATAAAAAATCACTTGATACAAAACATAAAATATCATTTCTTATTCTTATTCAAGCCAAGCTCACTCCTAAAGAGTGAATTCGTGGTTGGCTTGAGCTTGGCTTGCTAGTTCATCGAGCTCAGTTTACAAGCCACTTAGCGAACCAAGCCTGAACTGCTGGCTTGACTCCATTACAACACTAGTGGTTTGTAGGTAGAAATTGAAATTTAGGTGTTAAGACATATAAATACATGAGAATTGAGGGTATATATGCAAATGTTCCTAATATTAAAGTTTTGCAAAATTTCATTTTATTTTAATTTATAATACCAAATTATTTTATTTCATATTAAAAATATCATAATAATTAATTTTTAAAAAGCGACGCACAACTTTATAGACATACAAAAATGCTAAAAATGAAATTAAAAATTAAGCTTTAGATGTGTGAATATATAGAAATTATGCGGTAGGTCTGTAAATATTCTAAAATAATGACACTTTCATTAGTTTATTTTATTTTATTAATTATTATTTGTACTAAATTTGTTTCTTTTTTTTTGACCAGATATCCATACGCCGGCTTACGAAATCTCACTCCCACTCCCACCAAGTCCACCGCTAATCTCTTCGTCATCCTTCCCCTGTCGTCGTTGAAGTCCAGCTACAGTATTCTTTAGCGGACATGTACTAATTTAGTACTCTTTGATGCAGATCTTTGTATGAATTTTGTTCTAATCTTCATGTATTTGTACATCGAACGATTTGTCGGGTACCATTTAAGGTTTTTAGGTTGACTGATTGAGGTGCTTAAAAGCACGGCGGAGGTTTTTATGTGCTCCATGCATGCTTGCATTGGAATTGAGTATTGTCATGGTGATTGCTGAGACGAAGTTTTGCTCGGTGAAAATTTTCTAGCTTGAATGAGAGGGGTTTTCGGTGATTCTCCTCGTCCTGTGGAGGGCAGGCACAGGCCCGCTTTGAATTTGTAAGCTCTTGGAGTGCAGCTTATTTGGTTTCTTTTGCCGTCTAAATGCTTCGCCGATGTATGAGATTTTTTTGCAATTTACTATTTATGGAGTAAAATATGAACCCTAGGATTTGGTTACCCTTTTCTTCCTTTTTTTTTCCTTTAAAGTTTAGGCTGTTAAACTACCTGATTCACCGTGTGGCATGGTAGAGGTGACTTGTGCGTGAAGTTTACTATTTTCTTTTATTTGCTGTCATTTAATCCGATAAGTTTAGATATTGCTTTAAAATCATGGCTTGAGGCTCATCTAATTATATTTTCTCTCTTTATTTAAGTTTTCTGCATTATGGTAAATATACACCTTGGAATTCTGATCTGATAATGTTCGAGCTACATTTTGTCATTTTTAAATATTGTTTATTTTTAATTTTCCTTCATCGGGCTAGTGTTTCATAAATATTTACATATATCTAGAATTTAGCTTGGGAAACAATAGTGTGTGGTTTTAAATTGGTTTGTCCCTAGTAACCCAGACCTAGTTGAAAAAGCATGTTTTTTTCTATCATATTGTGTTTCAGAATTTGATATTCATAAACACGAGCGCGTGCGTGCACACATCTCACAGTCAAATATAAGTTGCATTGTTTCTAGTTATAACTCTTTTTGTTTTCTTTTGTGGGGAGAGGGGTTCATTATGTTGTTCTTTCAAACCTTCACTGCATATGATTTTTGGTCATTATGATGTATTATGGAAAAAATTGATTAGAAAAAAATGACTAAAATTTGTTTTATGAGAAGTGTCATACTAATCCTTGCATATATTGATTGTGTGCTTGTTTATCAAACTATGGGACATGTATTATACATAGAGACATATGCTTGGGTTAATTCATCTGAATTCTGGAACAATACAGCCAAAAGCATGTTAACGGTAAAAGGTACTGAGATATGCATGCATGTATTCTATATGATTTTCATTCCAAAGTTATGGACTAATAATACGGTTGATTATATATCATGGATATAACATACATAAGTTTAGATCACTATATACTTAGGATTATCAAGTTACATAGTAAAAGGGATAGAAGATTAAGATAATTTGAGCCATTTACCCTCTTTACTATCATTAAAGCTAGTGGCATACATAATTTCAACCACTTTTGAGATCATTTGATCATCACTCTGTCCATCCACATTTTCTCAGTGGGGGATCACTCATACCCACAATGGTGGCTCACGAAATTGAGAGGAGGAAGTAAATCATTTCCACCAAGTAGGTTTAATTGATGAAGAGTTGATGACGCGTTGATTTGGTATTAGATAATATATGGGAAGTTGGGATCTTAGAGTAAATGTGGATCTACGGGATTTTGACGGTTGCATGAATCCAAACGAGTTTATGAGTGACTCCAAATATTGGAACAATTTTTTTTTGTACAAAGATATTCCCTAGGACATAAGAGTTAAAATGGTAGTCATCAAGCTCAAGAAAAATACTTCCTTGTGATTGGAAAGCCTAAAGCGTGTTCGCCAGTATGAGGGAAAAAAACAAAATCACTACTTGGTCTAAGATTAAAATGATGATGCAACATAGTACCTTCTCGAGCATTACCAATATGATATGTTTATTAAACTTCACCGCCTGCGCCAGGTAGATTCTTTTGCGGAGGAGTACATAGTTGAATTAGATCAACTCAAACTAAAATATGAGTTGGTAGAACAAAAGGAGCACACACTTGTGAGGTATCTTGGAGGAGTGAAGCCAACCATCAGTAATTTGGTATAGTTTTAGTTGTGTTAATCCCTACTTAACGTACATATCCTATTAGTTTTGAAGTTAGAGTAACAACATCACCAAGTGAGGGCCATACTTTATAGACGAAGTTTAGCCTAAGTATTAACAAGTGGACCATTGAAACCCCTGCCTAAGGAGAAACCAATCGAGAGTGGAGAAAAGGTGGAGGCCATCAACACTCCCTAATCTGTTCCAGCCACGAAGCATTTCGGGTACAAAGGTTTGAGCACATTACATCTGATTACCCAAACAGAAGGATAATATTCTTTTATTGAGTAAGGAGCAGTTGAAGAAATAGACAATGAAATATGAAGACGCTAAAGATGAGTATCAGTTTACAATCAACAAGGTAGAGATACTAGTGATTCAAGCTGAGCTTATGAGAGAGAATTTGGCAGAATTGACATTGGTTGCTCTAGAAAGTAGTGAGTTATAAGATTCGATACCCAAAAAGAGACAAACACTGTTGAAGGAGTTGCCAGACAACTTTATTGATAGTTTATCTCTTGAGAGGTTGTCACCGAGAGTGGTCCAGCATGACATATATGTCATTCCAAGGTCAGTTCTTCTAGACAAAGTTATAGTAGATGCATGTTTCAAATTAAATGGCTTGATGCTTGATTTGTGAGGATATCCTTCTATGTGCAGTTTACCTTTAGTTGTGCCAAAAAAAGATTGTTATCTATTCTATCATGATAGACTTCGAAGAAAGTATATGTTTTAGTGTTGCATGGAATGGATATGAGCATAGCATGTGCAATGAAGTTGCCGTTTACATAACAAGTCATTGTTTTTGTTATGATTGTGGTAGATCGATTCCAAAAGTTCTTTGGGAAGAAGAAGAAGTCTTTCCTAGTCGAGGAGAATAATGCAGGAGTTTTCTGCATCCATTAGGTTCCACGAATGCGTGATATTATCGGGATCCTGTGATCCTGTGGAGTTCTCGAATGGAAATTAAGGAGTCCCACAATTGCCAGTAGACTTGCGCCCAATTAATGATTTCAACATATTTGTTTTCCTTTCATTTTCTTTTTATGTGTTTCTTTCTATTTCATTATTTCTAATTAGAGTTCTTGCTATTAGGAGGTTATTTATGTGATTTTTTATTGTTTGGAAACTTTTTTGCTATGTTAATGTATTTTGGAGATTGTATCTATATTTTATGCTCCAAGGAGTGTTGTATCCTCTTTCTTTTGCAAATGGTGCGTCTGTATCTTGCTCATGAGTAGGTGGTGGATCGCCTTGCTATCCACACTCGTAGTTTCGTCGTTCGATCTCTATTTTTAGTTTGGACGGCCACCGAGCTCTCAAATTTACTATCCACTAGCAGATTCCAACTCCTATTCCTTTCTAAATGTCATTGACCACTCCTATCCTACTTTTCGTTCCATTCCACGACTACCTACCCATAAACCTGCTTCCCGAATACCTTCTAGGAGCCCTAGAATGGTTTCATCAATCTTATTTTAATTTCTTATATGCTTAATGAAAGCTTTTTATCATGAAAGTTTTGAAATGGTGATCCATTAATACTTTCATGTTTTTTTTTTTATCACAATTAGTGTTGTGAATGTGTGATTTTGCCTTTGAAGCCCTATAAAGTGGCATACTTTAACAAAAATTGTGGCGACTTTAATTCAATTTTGAATCAAGCTGGCTCTACTCAAATTTATTTTCATTCAATTGAGTTTGTATTAAGCAGGAGTTGGAATTTGTTAGTTTAACTAAACTGCATATCGCCTCTTTTGCAGTTTATAATTGTGTTTTAATTTTCTTTTCTTTTTGTTCTATTTCTTTGTGTTGAAATTCTGATATGTTTTATACTTTGCAATTGAATTGTTTTTGTATTCTAGATAAAGCAAACAACTAGCCAGGTTCATTTGTTCTACGCTGTTCGAGTCATTCAAGGAGCATTCCATATTCACTGCCACTCCATTTATGTCTTTACCTTTTGGCCCTTATGATTTGGCTCAACATGATTAGGTTCAGTGATGACCAAAAGAGGCTTATTTTAATAATGAACACAGTGTACTGACTAAATTTCCTCACATTGTTAAATGATTAAGATAATAATAAAATGATGATAGATTAAGATCCACTCTTGTTTATTTTTTATTATATGGACTAAGATTAACTTTTCATCTCCTTGAAACAACCAAAGATATATATAATTCCAAGTGGTTTGAAAGTCGTCGCATATTAAAATCTCAATTATCTTTTCATGAAATGGTAGCAATACACATAAATTTTTAAGATTATTATTGTTATACATTCCACTTGTTGTAAATATGTTATAAAGAATCAACTATCTTTTGTTTAACATTATAAGGTTTTAATGAAAAAACTTAAATATAAGGAGAGGAAAGATTTTCCTTTTAGGAGAAGTTTCCATTTTATATGAACACATACATGAACTTTAAATGGATGTATACAACAACAACAACAAGCCTTTATCCCACTAAGTGGGGTCAGCTATGATGCGTGCTAGAAAATTCGCGGCGGTAGAGTAATGGATTATCGTCTTAACGTTGCACGAGGATTCAACACACACTCAGATGAAAGTGAAACAACCAGTGATGACACCAGAAGTTTTTACGTGAAAAATTGTAAAAGGAAAAAATCACGGGTTCTGACCCAGTTATAAGAATCCAATATATGTTGATGATTACAACGACCCCTTGGTCCCACCAACGGGAAATGGATACTAGATTTTCATATTACAGCGTTGCCTGACGGTGTCCGATCAACGGTGGTCGGCGATGATTGATAGTGGATGACGGTCAGCGATGATCAACGGTGGTCGATGGTGGTCGGCGGTGGTCGGTGGAGGTCGGCGGTGATCGCCGACGATCGGTGGTGGTCGACGGATGTTAGCGGTGGTCGACGAAAGTCGATGATGGTCTACCGTGGTCGACAGAGGTCAGCGATGATCGACGGTAATCGACGGTGGCCGGCGGTGGTCGACAAAGGTCGGCAGTGGTCGCCGACGTTTGGTGGTGGTCGACGAAGGTCAACGATGACATGAATGATGTTGGACTCGAGCTTTTTCTCAAAGCCTCAAATTCTCTCTCAAGCCTCTCCTCCCCTCATGTGAAGGGTAGTGCTCTATTTATAATGTTTTGGGTGCAATTAATGCAGGGATATGAACCATTTTAATCAGATAGTCCGGAGAGCTTTCCTCGATCAAATGATGTTTGATGGACATTTGAGTGCCTTAACG